TTATAAAAAATTTAGTCAGATACAAATATAAAAATCCAAAAATTTTGTTGATTAGATTTAGATATGAAAATTATGGATATAGAAAAATTGTTCTTTTGATAGATATGGTATCCTCAAAAAAAAAAAAAACAAACTTTGTTCAACTTTTTCTACTTAATTTTTTTGTTTCTGTTTTAAAGAGAAACAACTCGCGTCCTCAGAATCGTTTTAAGTATTCCAACTATACCTTTTGATAATCATCATCACTGACTCAAAGACTTTTCTACGTGCGTTGAATTCGTGCATTACAGCCTTGGCAGCATCTGTGGCATCGTGCAAGTCTAGAATCACCGGCATCTTCTTTATCTTATATTGCAGTTTCGCGTCCTTGAAACTTTTGCCAAACGTATCCCTCGCTTCTTCATGAAGAGGAGATAATTCACAAAAATGCCACGAAGGAATTCAATATGTTCATTCTTACATTTTTATTGAATCGTCGGTTGACGCAAATGACATTCACTTTTTAAAGCGACATAACCCTCGCCGATGCCAGGGTCCACTTTTCCTTCGGGGTCGCAGATGTTGGAACCACCGAGGGCCTGTACCAGATTACATACGAATGTGAGTTTCATCGGCCAGCACAGTAGCCAGGCGGCGAACACCGTCACCTTATCGTAACATTTGTTGTAAGCGCCACCGAACATATCTCTGAAAAGTATCTTTACGTTAGACATAATTAAGGTCAATACAAATCAGATAAAGTCAAAGAAAAAAAAAAAAATATTTAATTAAAATCGGAAAATGAAAAGAATATTAACATGCTGCACTGGCGAAGCTTATGGCAATAATATTTCTGTGACAGTTAATTACAAAAAGCATAAATAAAGTTATTACAATATTTATTACCTCGTAAGATTATTTATTTATCGGTCTATACTTAGAAGGGATTCGTGTAAAATGTCTTGCCTGCATCGTTCGGCACCGTGGGTAAGCTGCTCCTCGCAACGAGCTTCGATCTTTTTCTTGTACTTCGCCTCATAAACATCCGCCTCGGACTTCGCGGTCGCGATCTCTTTCTCATGTTTCTCTTCGATCTCGTCGCTTCTTCTCGTATCGTCCTGGAGCTCATCCAAATAGTCGTTCTCCTCTTTCAGTCTCCTCATCTCCTCCTCGCCCTCGATTTCCTCGACTATCGGGCCCATCAAATCTCTCACCGAGGATAAAGTATCCTTCAGCTCATTCGCATCCGCTTTCATGCCGAGCATCGCCTGCGTATCGTCAGATATCTCCATGGTTATGTGAATCGTACTTTCGCGTGAAGTACGCATGAGGTTTCATGATTGTGTAAACAATCATTTTCCCTGGAAATTCCGCATTGCTTATTGCATTATTATCTCAATGAGCAGATGTACCTGCTGGAAAGGCTTAAACATGAGATCAAAGCGCGTCTTAGTGAGATTGTACGTCAACTGCGTTGTGCAGGCGAAAGTTCTCACCACCTCTTTCCCATTGTACGTTACATTGAATACTGGCCCCGCAATTAAGTATCCCAGAATGAGAGCCCTTAAAACAATGCGTCCAGCTCGGCCGAAAAAGGTCGGTATTGTCAAAAGACAGATACATCTTATCTATTTGGGAGGGCAGAAACGAGATAAAAGCACACAACATTTTTAATGTAGTGACATAATCGAAAGATTTTTAGATACAGAAGAATCTCTTGTAACAAGAGATATCATTGTCCACAATTAATCTAGCGGTAATCTGTCAATGAAATCAAAGTAAGGTAACGAGGATGATGATAAGGTACAAAGGATGATAAGCTGAATTGAGTGAGCTAAATAAAAGAAAAGAGATTACCTGTATCGATGATGCGCATCCTATCGATAGCATCGCGACGAGGAAGGCTCCCAGAAAGATACTGGTATACGTGTCAAATTGTAGATCGACGATTATGCCCTCGTACAACAGGACACCTGCGACAAATCCAAAGAGAAATCCGATGAAGGCCCTGGCTTTCCGATGGGTGCCGATCGGATCGTAGCAGATGTGGAATAGGGTCGGGCATTTCTTCAGATAATATTTCAGGAAATCCTTTTGTACTCTCTCGATCAGGCGACCGCAGCGATTAAGCCGCTCCATACCCGCGGGCATCGTTTCCTTTTTTACAAAATCAAAAGTCCTCGTTGATAAGCAACTTTGACGCGGATTATGAAACGCGAAACTTTTCAGTTGATCTCTGAAGTCAAACGAATACTCTCTTCTATCGAATGAAGTCGATTTTTCGATTAATGCCATACTACGCTTTTCTACATTTCTCGTGAACTCACTGCAGACGCTTATTGGTTCGCCAATAATTGAGAGGAGTTGCATGTTCACGAAGAATAATAAGCATGGCCGATAATTTCGCAGTTGCATGTGTGTCAGAACTCGCTTCTGGTATATTTTATATATTTGGACGGTACCGTCAAAATATTTAGGGTACAAATAATAGTATAACGCTTTCTCCTTCAATTTTCCTGTAATTTTATAAATTTGCATAGATATATTACGAGATAAAAAAATCATTACTTCCGTTTTATAAAAGTTTTTTTGATATTTAAATTTCAATCCGCATAAAAAAAAATAAAAAAAATATAAAATTTAAATTACAAAGTATTTTTCTCCTATAGTTTAAATTATACAAGAAAATAATTTGTTTTAAATGTAATTAATTAAAGTAGAAAATATGATAATATAATGTAGTTATAAATTATCATTTTCTAATCATTTTCTTATCAACATTAAAAACTGAAAATAAAAAAAATGATAAGCGTTGATTTTCTTTCTCAGATGCATGAAAATACATAAATTCACAAAATTACAGGAAAATTGAAGAAGAGAGCATTATACTGCATAATCGTACTGCATTATTAATTAATTAGTAATAAATCTTAACAATGAATTTTATTGATAAATATTAATTATTTGATAAATCTATAAATTGAAAAAAAATCAAAGAAATAAAAGGAACATGAGTTGATTTCCGAATGTTCTAGTATTTATTAAAATAGTACTTAAAACGTATAAACTAAATTACTGTTTACATGGAAAAAACGATTTTGTTGAAGTATCTAAAAATTTGATAAATAATAATCATTCTGCAAAAATATTTAATTCAATAAAATTGTTCTTAGATCTACAACTGATCAAGTTTTTAAATAGCAAAACTATTTTTTTTATTTAGCAAAACTATTTTTTCCGCGTAGAAAACAAATTGTTAAATAAATAAATAAATAAATTGTTTTATTCCGTTGGAACTGTGATTATGTATTTTTCAGCAAGCACGCCACATATTGCCTAGATTATAATACAGCGATTATACGAAAAGATTTCGCAAATCAATTTTGTCCGCAACTGAGGACGATATTGCATTACAATTACTAATAATTTATACAAGGACAAAATGCCTCGAGCGAGGAATTTAAATTTACGAATTAAAGAAAATTTTGCGGTAACGAATAACAAGAGTCGATAACGATACAGTCATTCCTTACGCAAATTGTTTAAAACTCAAGGTCATGTATACGTAATACATCGTCTACGGAATATGAATAAAGAATTGGAGCACGAGAATTCTTTTCACGTACAACACATAAATTCCTTGCTCGTTATATGCTCTATCAACTTATATTCTTCTAGTACTTCTAATACAAATTTAATGATCGTTATTATTTCACATAGATTTAACATTTCTTACCTCTAGCATTATATATTATCGAAAAAAATGTTATTTGATACAATTATCATCTTTAATTTCTTTTTCTTTCTTATAAAAAAAAAAACGTTTTAACATTTTTCTCTCTCTATGTTAAATTTTTTTAAGTTTTATGACGATTATTATTCATAAAAAAATAGCATCCTTAATTATCCGCACTAATAATTATGTACATGTTAGTGATAATAAAACGGAATAATAAAATAATTAAAATAATTTTAATAAGAATTTTCTAATTTACGATAAAAATATTTATAAAGTATTTTACATTACGAGAGAATGTATTATATCGTCACAGGAAATGGCTTCATCGCGCATATTTTTCTCGATAAATTATGGCGAGGACAAGAGGACGATTTCGTGCGACTAACGAACCGTGTCCAGGCCCCTTATAAGACATCCGAAGTAATGAGCCATTCCATCAGAACAGTGAATCAGGAGCAACGCATCAATCTCGTCCAGCACAATGAGATACCTAGTCGTCGTCCTTATCACCGTGTGCACCTTTTCATCCACCTCAGTTTTCGCCGAGGAGCAGTACACCACAAAATTTGACAATGTAGACGTGGACGCTATAATAAACAACGAGAGGCTGCTAAACGGATATGTGGGTTGTCTGCTCGATCGAAACCCCTGCACCCCGGACGCGGCGGAACTTAAAAGTAAGTGCGTCGAACAGCGAAGAGTCCGTTCTCTTTAGTTCACGAAATATCGAGACTCGAAACGTTCTGAATAAAAACAGAACTTTGTAATTAATACACATACGTTTCCTTTCTCTTATAAAGCCTTGAATATCAAAATTTTTGAAAGCCAAGATCGAGGTCTTTCGATATTCTCAAATAATTGTGTAGGACGCTTCAGCATAACTTCTCTTTATTTAAAAATTAATGTTCCCACCCTGTGGGTATCCCACCCTCCGGGGTAGATACAAGAGGAGAAGCGGTTAGGCCACGCGCAATATAAAATACTTTATAGGCGGAGGACAATAGCCCTCCCCTCCCCCCTCCTCGCCTTGTGGGCACTTAATATAGCTGACGGGGTCGCTCCTCGGCAGCGTGCGTACCTTATAATACTAATTGATCCCCCCTAATTGAGCTCGCGTGCTAGGGGGAATAAAGCAACAGAGTACTTGGCGACCTCCCGGGGTGTATCACAGATAAGTGGGTTAAAAGATAAAAGGACGCGCGGCAATAATAATAATAATAAAATTAAAATATAAAAAAGTCAACGCGGCACACTCACACTTTGATTTTTTATTCTAATAACCAATTCAAATGTTTTATTTAATTATTTTGATTCGATAAATTTATTTTCAGATTTTTACCCGATCCGAAAAATTTTTTATGATACTTCAGTAAAATTGTTCTCTTTGCGCAATATCTTGTCATAGTATTGTCGTAGTATTGTAATGACGATGCATCCCTTTTAGAAAACCTGCCGGATGCGTTGGAGCACGACTGCGCCGGATGTAGCGAGGCGCAGAAGAACGCGGCCGACAAGATCTCTCATCATCTGATAGACAATAAGCCAGACGATTGGAAACTGCTGGAAGATAAATACGATCCCACCGGGGCGTATCGACGACGTTACCTGGAAAACAAATCCAAAGACGAGGGTAGATTCGACTAGAATTGTTCTTTACATTGTAAAGACCGTCTCTAAGGTCGACCACAGCTCTATCCATCGGACTCGAATGCTTACCGTAATCCTTGTCATATACGGCGATTTTACTTTACATAACGATTGCATAACAGAAAACTCTATCGCGTTTCATCATTCCATGGAAGTTTCCATTGAGACAAAATATTCAAAAAATATGTCAAAAATGTATGAGCTAGCATTTTCATTTTAACAACTTCTTTTAATTGTAATTTCTTTTTTTGCAAATTTTTTTGATAAATTTACATCAATTTTATGATTAAAAATATACAATATATATATATATATATATATATATATATATATATATATATGTATTTATTTTTTATTAATTTATTAGACTTTTTACTGACTTTTAAAAGTAAATATTTTAATGTAACGAATTAATATCCTCGAATAAATAACGAGTTATTTTACAAATCGTTTTGTTACGTTCTAAATTAGCAAATATCATGTGAAAAAAAATTGCACGAATAACATAATGTACATATAAAAAACATAATGTACATATAACATAATGTACATATAAACATAATGTACATATAAAAAAAATTCATTACAATTTATTTTATCTTAATATTCAGGATATACAAGACAAGGATTCATTCTATCGTTCATAAAAATGATATAATTAAAAGTAGCCTCAGAGCATTAAGATTAGAATTATATGCAAATAATAGCAGTAATGTATTATTAATAATGCACAAAGAGAGAGAAAAAGAAAGAGAAGTATTAAATAATTTCCTGCAAATTATTATAATTTTACATGTAAAAAGAGGTGAAGCAATTCAGGTACAATTGTCCTTGCATAACGTGAAGAAGCAATTATATCTAACTCCAATTCCACTGTTAGAACATCTGTGTAGCAATAATAAATTGGAAAGAAAAATAAAGGAAAAAAAACATATCTATCTACTTATGTATCTATCTATTTATCTATTTTTATAACAACTTGATCAAACTTCAATTTATTTTAATCTGTTTTCTTTTAAAATCTATATGTATTTAATTATAAAATATATATTGCTTTTAATCCCGTTGTTATATATATATAAAAAATATATTCATGTTTATATATTTATCTTATTTTATTAAAATAAATTAACTCGTTTTTTCATCATTGATTCGTTCATGATCTTATCTATCTACAATAAACTGCTAAGAAATAAGTTTATTGTTCTTTAATATTGTCTATAATATCGAATTATATAAATAAATACAACTGTAATTACGATTTAATATTACCTAATATTTATTAAAATATTTATTACTCGAATTTAATAATGAAAATGTTTTTGCTGCTAGTAATTCTCTTCTTTATCGATGATTGTATCGATGATGTAACGAGTACTCATATTCGTCGGCAGATTCCGCTTTGTGATTGCTTGGTTCATAAGGCAAGTTCGTTATATGTTATCTTCAAGTTATCAATAATTTTATTAATAACTAAAGAAAGAGATTATTTACCTTTTTCATCCCATTTTGTTGATTTTTCTTAAATTTGACACTTTTTTCTTTTTCCTAAAATATATTAATTGATACACGCTACATTTCACGTTAATATGAACTTCACGATTACAACATCATTATTTTATCATATCATTATTTTATTGCAATAATTTTGTTTAAATATGATCATTGTAAGTTTCATTATATATAATTATGTAAGAAAAGTTTACATCGAGTTAGTGGCGTATACGGCGCAGAATGACGATGTTAAGGCAACGGTGATGCTTAATCGTTTAGAAAGACTTCCTCGTGCTACCAACCAACAGAAATGCTATGAAAGGCGACCAAGATCTCTCGGGTGATCTCTTTTTTATAAGTTTCGGATTACCAAAAATATATCTCGGATATTCAGCACTTGACGCGGGTGGTCATCACGCTAGAGCAACCCTTCACGTGATTCCCAGAAGCTCGGCGTCCGTAATAAAAAAGAAAGTAAGAAAAAAAAAGAAAGAATAAAAAGTAGACGAGAAGGATCGCGTAATAAATTGGGAAGTAATGTGAAGAAACGAAGAGATAGAGCGCGCGACGCGACTCGAGTATCGCCGTATCGTGAGCCGTCCGTAGAAAGAGGAACGGCGCGCGATTATAAGAGAAATCTCTCGTCGAGGAGGATTCGAGAGAGGCGAGACGGACAATCGCCGCGCAATTTATCAAGCTTTCCTGAAACGACGTACCGAACGACGTCTTCAAGGACCGGATCGATCGGGGAACGAGCGACTCGACAATTACCGGAAATTACACACCGATCTCCCTGTCCGATCGAGCGACGTCATCCTACGAAAGCTCGAAAACGATTTGGATCGAGAGAGGCCAGCGAGCTACTCTTGCGATTTGATCCACTATACGCGCGTACATACATACGCGGGAAAGAGAGAGGGGAGGGGGAGAGAGAGAGAGAGAGAGAGAGAGAGAGAGAGAGAGAGAGAGAGAGAGAGAGAGAGAGAGA